AAGACAGACACTGATGCTGCTTTAAATCCTGACTATATCAACTGGTTTTGATATGCCCTGTTTGCCACCACGCAGTGTGGAGAGAGACAGACTGTGGGTCTTCTCGAAAGCGGTCTTGTTAATTTACTTTTTCTGCCTCAAGATAGTGCAAAGTTGGATTTTTATAACTTAAATTCTCTGACGTGTACGTCTTGACCAGGGCATGCAATAAAAGTGCCGAAAGGGCCGACAAGACGTTTCCGGTCGCTGCACTCAATAAAAGCTTGAATGAAAATAGACGTTTTGTTAAGCAAGCATTGTGACAGTACGTGCCGTGGTTGTCTAGATTGGAAGAAGCGCTCTCGTAGTTTCTCCGCCTAATATTGCGAAGACTCATTTGGTTCAAAATGTAGATAATATGCGCGTACATGCTGGTACATCGAAACTGAAAACAGTTTGAACATTTTTAGGAAAGTCCCGACTATCGGAATTTTCCATACGGCACTACACTGCGGGAGTTTCGCAATAAAAGGGGAGATCACCCAAGAATAGCGAAAGGCAGACAAGTGAATGAATGCAGTCACCAATAAAAATAGCGTTCCTAAAACATCGCCGTAAAACGCCTTTCGTGGTCGAAAATTCTCGTTACAATAGTAAATTTGATCATTAAGACCGACATGCTCAACCCTCGGTCAGTCAATGTAATTTAATCTCGTCAACATTTTGGTCGGTGAAGCATGGGATTTTAAAGTTGTCAAACTTGTGCTACGTTCGACCTCATTTAGGTCATGTTTAGCGATAGTGCCTGAAACGACAGGCATTTCATGTGCCATATATATATTTCATTTTAATGACGAATTTAGAAAGATATGATGTCTAATCCCTCATTTTAAAACACTAACATACGTCCCAGTGTGTTCGACGGTTGTTTGAGCTATAACCCCACAGCGATAGGGACGGAAATGATAAAACAATGTCGGTGTGAATGCGGACAGTTATAACGGACTGGAGCAGCCCACCGTGCAACCAGGCCAAACATGGCCGCCGTTTTTAAAAGCCCATTCTTTGTCTCGCCGTTTTCGACAAATCCGGGTCGACCACAACAAGTAGAAGCAAATAGTTAATACAAACCAGGAGCTGACATGGTTCCAGAAACATGCCAATGTGTTTTATACATAATCTAGACAAGAAACGAATGGCTACATCATGACAAGTCCATGCTATACTCACATGTGAGTGTAGGCTCAGGCATCGCGATTTGCAGCGGGCTTGTAATATCGCATCGTCCAGGGAAAACTGTGCCAGTGATATCGGCAAAACCATTACTATAGCGAAGAATAGTAAGCAATCGACCATCCTGGCAGGAATTAGCTCTCTAAATGGCACGGAACAGAGTAAATTGTCAGGGAGAATGATGGCGAAATCTCCCATCGACGATCGGCGCCGTACGGAAAGCTGAATCAGCTGTATGGACGAGACGCTTTATTCGTTTTGCAGGGGTGGTCGACACCACTCTGTCGCCATTAGGCATTGAGGGGCGCACAGAAAGGGTTGGTCAACTCTAAACTTTTTTAACCCTTTGTCGGTTCTACGATGTATCTCAAGTCAAAAGAACCCTTTCGTACAAGCATTGGATTGCCTTCTTGTAGTGGACAAGGGGGCGAAATAGTCGCACGGACAAAAGAAAGACTTTTGAACATCAAGTCGGATATATACCATTGTATTCTGCTTGCATAAATTAGCATGACAAAACACCCAGTTTCTGAAACCCGAGTACTTTTACTAGCTGTTCCCATTGTAACCACTCTTCCCCCACGCTTTGTTGAAATCTCCCGGGCAACACTCGGAAAGACGGGCCAAGCCTTTCTGCTGATGTGGAACTGGCAGTAAACAGACCACACAGCTACGACTTTTTATCAATTTAATCATGGAACTTAACTTAGTTTTATATTTTTACATTAGTGTCACCAATATGCGGTTACCACGCACAACTGTGCACAGGGAAGTTCTTTCGCATCCCAGACACGCGGGACAAGGGCAAGACACTATTATGCAAGAGTACACATCATCGGGTCCCTGGGAACATCCAATCAATTATCCCGAGATGGCTGGTGACGTTGCAAGAGTCAGCAACCTGGAAATTACAAATTTGGCTATTTCAATGTTCCACAATTCGATTGAAAATTCACCATTTTACCGGGACTGCCGACGAAACATACTATATATAGTTCGTTACACACGACTGCCCAAATGACAGAGCACATATCCCGTGTTGTAATCATTATTGTATATTTTTGTCGGAAAACGGTAAATGATCGGACACACATGGATAGACAGGCAGAAAAAGTCGATACGCACTAACTAGGCTGAGCGGTATACACACACACTTCCCAAGTAGGAATTAAAATGGTCACATAACAAAAATTAAGACAAAATACAGTAGAATGTTTAAACAAAAAAAACGAAGATACAAATTGAGGCGTTGCTGTTAATTTTGATAATTTTTGCAATATTCATATTAATATGTTCGGCCACACACACAACATAAAGTTTGTCATTCGTCGAGAGGATCGCGATACATGTATTTGTAAAAAAATTGTCACGCAAACGTCATGTAGTGATTTTCTTTTATCATTGTATTAAAAAGAACACATCACGATAAAGTAATGGGTAGACGGAACGCGTGTGTACTGGAAGTATATACAGTGGGTCGCCAACGACACACTAACACAGACACATCATCCGACTTGTATCATCTAGCAACGCCATGCAATTCTGTGCAGTCATCCAGTCTCAACCAGTTACCCAGCCGACTTCACTCACTCAGAAGTTTAAATGCATGCGTGGGCGAGACGTATGACCAGCAGTGTCATAAGGCCCTGGAAGTTCAGTCGTTAATAAATTCTAGTGCCAACACATTCCCGTATTCTCATAATCAAAGGTTCATATGTATATTAGTCTGGGCTGGATAACTATAGAGAAATTTATTCACGTCTGAGATATTACTATGGTTATCCGAGTCCACGCGACCAACAGAGTTCGTCTATCGCACCTCTTTAACTATAAACAACAATTTACCCGTAAAACTCAGCGCTTTTACGAGAAAGGGTCATCTTGTTCCACTTTTTGTACCTTTCATTGTTTCGTACAGAAATATAAAACAAGCTGTGACGAGAATAATGGCAACGCTCCACGAGACAAAAAAAAAACATGTTTACAGATGTGTTCAAATCATAGAAACATTCCAAACCAAGACAAACTATACAATATATATATACATAGAATATTATATTATTTATCGCCGATGGAACTTAAATACAAACACAATAAATTCGTAATCCGGTCCTCTTGTAATTAATCAAAAATCATTTACATTGGTGGGCGGTCCAGGACTGTAGGCCAACGACAGGCTCCGCGTTAAACACATCCAGAGAATGCTACACAGACGGTGCCAGATCGTGCATAAAGACCTCACACTAGTCTAAATGTAATCGTGCAATATCGACCCCCCCCCCCACATATAGCCATCTGGGTAAGGTGGAATAATATTCGTGTCTACAGTGTTTGCTTGGTACTACCAGTACATTTTCTAATTAATATTGAATAATATCAGCGATCACACCGGTGTACAATTAACATTTATAATGATGATACGAGTACCTGGTTTCATTTCCACATTAAACACTCGGACGTTCTTTTTAGACATACAAGTACATTTTGCACTTAGTTTGAAATGTGTTAAATCAAATCGCCGCTAGAAATAGTTCAAGACAGAACTGATTTGTGGAGACAGACAGAAAATGGAAGTTGGTCGACTAAAAAAAATTTGTAAAGGAGCACAATTGAAATAGGAGGGCCCTGATCAAACGTTCCGTCCGAATGGAAAAGAAATACACCGGAGGGGGTCGTGACATTTATCATATCTTCCGTTTCTTTTGTGCACGTTTCACCAATGGAAATTGGGGCAATACAAACAAGTCCGAACATGTTGTCATGTATGATATATTCAGACTGTAACACTGCACGAAATCCGAACGTGGTGGTTTAGTTTCTTTTTCAATCAACGAACAAAGCGCTCTCTTGTACTGATAAGTCCCACACGGCACCAATACCTATCCGATCTACTGCAGCCATTCTACGCGGACCCGGTCCCCTGGACGTGATACAATGGCGTGTGCGGCAATACAGGACCGTTTCCTTTGTGACGTTTGATAGGAGTGAACAAATAAAAAGTGCTGACACTTTTATTTCAAAGGGAATTGGAATCAAAAGGGTTTCATGAAAAAAAGAGCGGCGTTCATGCCTGGGTTGGTATTTGCATATGTAATTGGCTGGTTGGTTGGTTGGTAGGAGCACATTGCCTCAGTTCTGGCACGTTCGGGACCAGGTCACGTATATTATAGTGGAAGTGTGAAGAGACTCTTGGAAATGCACTACGATTGCCGTTGAAATTTTTCGAGGTGTATAGCGATATACCGAATTTACACAATCCACATGCATGGCATCAGCCCATAGTACAAAAATAACGAAATATAAACCTATTTTAAAACTGAAGCAATTATAGACTTGTTTCTAAATTTAGACGCTAAAGCCGTGACACCGAAACGCACCAATTAACACTAATACCTTCCAGGTGATATATGATGACCTATGTTACATTCACATTTAATCCAGTAAA